GTTTCTGATTATAGAAGAATTTAGCTGGATTTTTATTTTTCTTTGTCGTTTATAGTTCAAATGTTAGCATTTTTGTGCAGTTTAGATCTGAAATGGGTTGATTTTTAGTTACTATAACGAAAAGAAAAAATGACATAGGAAAACATCTGCAATTTTAACTAGATTATAAAAAATATTTTAAAATAATGTGACAATAAAAATGTCTAAATGACTTTAAAAACTTAGAAGTTAGAACAACTCAGAACAAGGAGGTAAGATATTCAATGCATAGATAAGACTGCCAAAAAATCAGTAGACAACAAGCTAATATACCGGAATGTCTTAAAACTTAGGTATTGGCTTAAAACTTAGGTATTGTCAATTACTGAAAATAGGATAAACATTAAAGAAAATCCACTTTTTTCTGTGCTCATGTTTAAGAAAGAGTTGAACATGTTATTCTGGTGTAAATTTAAGCCTAGATAGTATGTATTATATTTGGTTTTTATGAACACTTTCTGGTTTGTTCCTAACATTTGCGTCTCTGAGTGTTTTATGCATAACTTAAATCAGTTATATGCGATTGCCAATGCATTTTTTGCATGGTAACTTGGCAGGATTAGCAGATTATTGGAGCACTTTAAATGGGTGCTAAAAGCATACTTTTTTGTGTGGTTTGTTCTTGGAAATGTTTGGCTATTTGGAGGTTACTCTTCTTCAGGGGCTTCAAATTTGCACAGATGTCAACACTTGCCTGTCCATTGCAGGTTATGCGTAATGTTCCTTGTCTTCAGTTATCTCGATTTTATTATGCCCTTCATCCTGTGTCTGGTTTTGGCATGCTGTTGTGGGGACCTTGGTCCAATTAGAGGAGCTCCTTCAGAATGCATTGATTCTCTGCCAGCGTACACATTCAAGTTGCAAAAAGATCGTAGTGGCAGCATAAAGAAAATTAATTTTGAAGTTAAAGGAGGGGCTGAAGCAGCAGGAGCCGAGAAGGACTGTTCTATTCCACGGGATGATGTTGTTTTGTTCAGGAATGCCTCTATATTTCACGCAATTGTTCACCACTTTCTTTGTACCTTTTCTTCTTCGTCGACTCCAATCAGATACATTATCAAGAGGTCTCAGAGAGTGAGATATGAGCAGGCATGATTCTAAGTACTTCTCGACGACGAAAAAGGGAGAAATCCCTGAACTCAAGGAAGAGCTCAATTCTCAATATAAGGTATCTAGTGTCTTTCCTGCACATTTCATTGTTGATCTGCTTGATCTAATTTGTTAGGTTTTCTATCTGATGTGTATGAAGGCCTTTAGTTCGTGTTTTTCGTTATATATGTTGTTTTGCCGTTTTGATTTGTTTCTTTGAAGCGGTCAATCTGCTGAATTACGTCTTTTTTAGTTGTGTTTTAGGTTCTGTTTGGATCAATTAGGGATTACAAAAAATAAGCTGGAAATGGAAAGAGATATTCAGTTTTCTTGATTAGGATTAGTGCTGCTTTATTCGAGCATTGGATTATGGTTCCCTTTCCATCAAGTTTATATTGAGAGTAGTTTATTAATTTATGACTCGAAAATGAATTTTAACTGTAAAACAATGGGGTTTTTTAATTCTATTGAATTTTCTGGTTAAATGAGCTTTATGAAGAATTTGTTTAATCCTGTTGCTCTTAGTATGTGGAAAGACTAGAAATGGGTTCGTTGGATTTTGAATGCATATTTCTGCATCTCTATATTTGTGCCTTATGGTTATGGGTTGGCTTTGTTTTCTATGTCGTGAAGGAAAAAAGAAAAGATGTTGTAAAGAAGGTTATTGCTGCAATGACGGTTGGTAAGGATGTCTCATCGCTTTTCACAGACGTGGTGAATTGCATGCAAACAGAGAAATTTCATGGGAAAGAATTGTAGGCCTCATTTGCACTATGAGGTTGATATTCCGCAATGCAACATATTGTATCTCGGGTTCTAACAACAGTAATGTCACAAGAGGAGGAGCCATCTTTTTGCAAAAGATTTCTAACAACATCAGTGCTAGCCAACAACAATAGTAGGGACAGATGTATATATAACAAAATAAAATACACTACTCCAATCTGTTAATGCAGAAGTCATTGAAAAGGCTGTGCATAATATGTACCTACAACATACAAATCACTCTCTTCCACTCTCCAAACCCCAACTCTTAGTTCCCATCAACTTCACACCGTTCCTTCTTATAATTCTTCGACTCCTTTAACCATTTCCTTATCTGGGTCTTCCTCCTTTATCAAGGGTTACTTCAAATTAAAGCAGTATGAGGAGGCACGCCAGTACATGGCTGTTTGTAGTCATAAGACTGAGCAATTTGATTTATAGTTTGTTGGCGAACCTTCATAGAAAAAGGGGAGAACTGGTTACCTCACAAACTCTGTTTTCGGAGATGATAGAAAAGGGTCTAAAACCAAACTTTGCAGTGTATGTGAAAGTCATGAAGCACCTCCAGAAATCTGGCGAAGATCTGGCAAGAAACTTGGAGAGCAGCTTCTCCAGCTTCATTTCACATCCATGTGTTGGTAAAAATTATTAAAAATGTAGGTTCATTATGCAGTTGTTTGCTTCCTGAAGGCCTTCAAATAACTAAAGTGAAGGAGTTGCCTGAATACCACAACATAGGTATGCTTTGCTACATCTCCTAGGTTGGTTTTGAAAAATTGATCCTGCCATTTACATCCTTCCGTGATATTACACTAATATTAAACTTTATTCTGCTTTCTTGCTTCCAGAAGATGGAGTTGAATCTGTCTCAACTTCCACCCCTGCGATTCACCTGAAATTGATGATACTTATCAAGAGAAGCACTTACTCTCATCAATTGATGGAAATTCAGAAATATCGTTTATTAAAGAAGCCCAAGGGTCTTGCAAGATGCCTTAAGAGAGGGGTTATTATGGTAGTATTCGCCAAATTGGAAGCAGAGTTGCTGAGCTTGCAATATGTGCACGCCTTTTCTTTGATGAAATTATTTTCAATTTTTTAGTGTCTTATTTTCCCCCATTGTTATCTGTTTGAGCAGAAGAATCTGTCACTTGACTTTCTTCTTGATCTTCTGTTCTAACATTCGACGGGAACCTGTCCTAGCAATATTTGGCACCTGTTCCTGAAGAAATAAGAACATGATAAATGGTTCTCAATGTTGGGGAAAACGAGTTATTTCCCACACGAACATAGTTTTAAAATTGACCTAAAATGTCAAGATTAAAACCACCAAAGGTTGCACAACGGATAAACCTGTCAAACTATTGAATATTGAAACACAATGGAAAATAACCTAATAAAAACAATAAATGGGAGAACACACCAGGATTTACGAGGTTCGACGAGAATATCGTCTACTCCTCGGGCACCACACCGGATGATAACTTCACTATCAACAAATATTACAACAAATAAAATTCTTTAGAATTCTCAAAGTGGGAGAATGAAAAATACAAGAGGAAGATAAAACTTGTTTTTGGGATAGTTGAGTTTTAAGAACAATATGTTCAAAGTTTGGCCACCTACCAAAGAATTTTCTAATGTGTACAAGTTAGCAACCAAATATGAAATTCACATGTTCAAAGTTTAGCCACTAACCAAGATGAAATTTCCAATAAGTTGGCCACCAACCAAGATGAAATTTCCAACTTGTCAACTTAATTTCTAGACAAATCTAACAAATTTCCACCTTGGCTTGAAATTACCAAGCCTACTCAACTTCTTCAACTCCCCAAATTCGTAGTGCCTTTAATTGCGCTCACAAGCGCCACACACTCGAAGGTGTTCATACTTTTAGGATGTTAATGAAGTTCAAACAATGATTGAACTTGATTACTGTTATCACCTTGGTCATCATATCTGCAGGATTTTCTGATGTTGCAATTTTCTGAAGTAGAATCTTTCTTCTTCAAAGATCTCCCGCACAAAGTGATACTTCACGTCGATATGCTTAATCCGTTAAGTCAAATTACTTCTTTTACAGCCTCTGAAACTGCCATGTATTCTATCTCTGTAGTAGACAAGGCCACCGTAGATTGCAATGTAGATAGCTTCAATTTTGATATTTGAGTTCAAAGACCAAGCGGTTCAAACGAGCTGGCGCGTAGTAGATAATCAAATAGGTTAGAAATAAAGGTGGTCCCATCATTAAAATGAACCGGTCAAATGATCGATTAGATTTTTTTAAATCATATTAAGTATTTAGGGTTTTTAATTTTTCAATTTTAAATTTCATTTTTTACTCTGCGACAATAAAGACTTGGCCTAGGCTCAAGCTATGATGAGGCTTGGACTTCGTCTTTGTGGTAAACAACTACGCGTTATCAAGTACTTCCTTTGAAGTTGATTTATGTTTTTTTTAGAAGTTAATATATTCAACTATTTTGTTTATTTTCTATACAATATTATTTAAAGTATCATATTAGTAATATTAAAGTAAAGAGAAAATCGCCTCAGTGACCAAAAATGCCTTATAATATACGATTTTAACCAATTTTTTTTGGATTTGCCAAAATGACCAACAAAATCGCAACGCGAAATAAAAATCGCAACGCGATCCCCAGAATCGCAAATCAGTTTCCAAAATCGCAACGCGATTCTTGACAATCGCAATGCGATTTTCATATTCGCATTGCGATTTTCCATAATCGCAACGCGAATATGAAAATCGCAACGCGAACACATAAATCGCAACGTGTATCCGTAAATCGCAACGTGTATCCGTAAATCGCAACGCGTATCCGTAAATCGCAATGCGTATCCGTATATCGCAACGCGTATCCGTAAATCGCAACGATAATCCGTAAATCGCAACGAGAATCTGTAAATCGCAACGATAATCCGTAAATCGCAACGAGAATCTGTAAATCACAACACTGAAATTTTGGGTATATAACTACGCAACAGCAGCAAATCATAAACTAAATCCCTAAATCGCAACTCATTCCATCTCCATCTATCACTCTCTCCGGCGACATCCGTTCCTATATCCAACGACATCCTTCCCAATCCGGCAACAGGTTTTAGTTTCGCAGCTCGTCTGTTTAGTAAATTAATTTACAACCATGAAATCATCTAATGTTGATCATGTTTGGATAGATTTGTGTTTTGGAGGGTCATGGGATAATGTTCATGGTGTTTTACAATATATGCCTTTACCCATGAATCTTCAACTAAAATTGTCTTTACAAAGTTAACTTATGAAACTCTAATGCTACGTGTTTCAAATAAATTGAATTTAGAGCCCCTAAGTGGATTTAGGCTATCTTATCAGAGAAATGGTAAAGTTATTTGTTAACCGACAATGAAGATGTTGAACGATTCATTGCTTACATTAGTGTTTCACAAGATGATGTACATTGTATGTTGTTGAACCTAGAAGTAGTATTGTTGGGTCAGTAGCGGGTAGTAATCAACTAAGTTTTTCTCAAACCCACAACCTTTCTCTAATCCAAATCCCAATCAACTTTCAGCACCAAATTCCGGTTTTCGTATTGACCAGTTAGACGATGATGAGCCAACAGAAAAAATTGTGAGTACTAGTCAGTATTCGAAATTTGGTCTTGGTCAATATCCGGACTTTGATATTGGTCAATACACGGATTTTGATGATGTTTCAAAAGAAGAAACAGACCCTGCGTGTAATGATTTTGATATTGGTCAATACCCGAATTTTGATGATGAAACAGCCGTTGCCGAAGAATGTATTGTTGATGATAATGAGGAGGAAGTTACGACTGTGAATGAACATGTTGAACATCCATTCTGTAATTCATATAATCCTGAAGAAGAAAAGAAGAAGAAAAAGTCCCCGAAGAAAAGAAAATGCCACGGGCGTATAACTGGAATATGCCAGAATTACTTCAGATACCGGAAGAAGAGTTGGTAAAGAAAGCAGTTGATTGTTACACAAAAGTTATTCGTATCAAGAAAGATGATTGTTTTGATACAAAGGAAGACTTGAAGATAGCTTTGTATACGAAATGTGTGGAAGATGGCTATCAACTAAAAGTTAACAAATCAAGCAAAGATCGTTTCGAAACAAGGTATATGATTGACAAAAACTGTACGTGGCGTATGATTGCCAGAGAATAAAGATTGCGAAATGTTTCAAGTTAGGACTTTTATTGATAAACATACATGTTCAAGAACCCAAGTTTTTCCTCACCATAGACAGGCAAACAAAAATGTGTTGGGTGGTTTTCTGGCTGAGTTAATGTTTTGAATGGCAGGGTATATCGGGGACATGAAATTATGACTGACATGAATGCTCGGTTCAAGATTAGTATATCATATTCTCAAGCTTGGAGAGCCAAATGTTATGCCTTGGAATTGTTGAGGGGGTCGCCAGAAGCATCGTTTGCCCAACTGCCGGCTTATTGTCACAATTTAAAGCTGAAAAACCCTGGGTCGGTAACTCATATCAAAACAGATAGAGATGGACGCTTTGAGTTGCTGTTTATCGCCATTGGTGCTACGGTTAGTAAATCAATATAATTTTGTTGACTCATTTTGTTAGTTACATGCATTTCACATTTAAATGATTATATTTCTTGTGTATATTATTTTGTAGATTCGTTCGTTTATTACTTGCATGCGCCCAGTTATTATAGTTGACGGAGCACATTTGAAAGGTCGATACCTTGGAGTAAACTTATTAGCAGTAGCCATGGATGCTAACAATGGGATATTGCCAATAGCTTACGGGTTGGCAAATCTGAAACCTCTGATTCATGGACATGGTTTATGGGGCATCTTAGGGATTGCATAGGTCCTATTAGCAATCTGACAATCATATCCGATAGGGCAAACTCAATTGACAACGCTGTTAGAAGGTGTTTCCCAGATGCTTTTCATGGACTTTGTGGTGTTCATTTGTATAGAAATCTAAAATCAAGGTCTGCTGGTATAAAAAAGCACAAATGGACATACTGGAAGGCTGTAAAAGCTTATCGGGAAGTGGATTTCAATAAGCATATAAATTGTTTAAGACGTGTTTTGCCTCAGTGTGCTCAAACACTAGAAGATGTCGGGTTTGAAAGATGGTCAAGAGTACATCAACTTGGAGCAAGATATGGTTTCATGACGTCTAATAGTGCAGAATCAATCAACGCTCTAAGTCGTCATTCCCGGAAATTACCCATTACTATGTTAATGGAGTTTTTTCGAGCCTCTATTCAACAGTGGTACTACAAGAAAAGAAACCATGCAGGTATTATTTCTTTGAATTCGTAACTTATCATATTTATATATTTTACTAAGTATTGTTTATTTAAATTTACAGGAACATTGGAACATCGTGTTACACCATGGACTGAAAAAAAGATAACGAAACGTGTTGTGAAGTCAACGTCATGGAGAGTTGAACCATGTTCAAACACTTTGTTTCAAGTACTGGATAATAACTTAAATGGGCTAGTCGATCTAAATGCAAAGACGTGTAGTTGTATGAAATGGCAAACATCTGGTTATCCGTGTGGCCATGTTATAAAAGTTGCTCTTCATTTAAACCAAGATGATTCAAGCGCATACGCTATGGATTGCTACACTACAGAAGTTTATCGACAGACTTATGCCGAGATGTCTACCCTATTCCACATCCTTCTGAGTGGGACATACCAGATGACTTACAAACAGTTTTGCCACCAGCCATGGACAGAAGGCTACCTGGCCGACCAAAAAGTCACGATCGTATACCGTCTAAGGGTGAAGAGAAGAAGAGATCGACATGTAGTCGGTGCAAGGAAAGTGGTCATACAAGGTTGACATGTGGATCACCAGTGCCATCAAAATCATCTTTTCCTCTACCAAAATATGGATCCTCATCAAAATCCAAAGCTCATATGGTGTCAAGCAAAAGGCAATCATCTTTAAAATCCCAATCACAATTGGCTTCACCTTTTGGGACTGTTAACTTAGGTGATTTTTAAATGCAAACGTTGTATTATGTGGATTTTATGTGTGAACTTTTAACATTTTCAGTTGAATTAATGACTCAGGCCAACCATTTTGACTTAACCAACTCTTGTTATTCAGTTGTTATCACTTATTAGGCATGCATTTGACTATCGCAACACGGAAATTACAATCGCAACGAGAGAATCGCAATGCGAAATGAAAATCCCAACAAGAAAATCGCAATGCGAAATGAAAATCGCAATGCGAAATGAAAATCGCAACGAGAGAATCGCAATACGGAAATGAAAATCGCAACGAGAGAATCACAATGCGAAATGAAAATCGCAACGAGAGAATCGCAATGCGGAAATGAAAATCGCAATGCGAAATGAAAATCGCATTGCGATTCTCTCGTTGCGATTTTCATTTCCGCATTGCGATTTTCATTTCGCATTGCGATTCTCTCATTGCGATTTTCATTTCGCATTGCGATTTTCATTTCAACATAATGCAGATTGAAATCAACAAAATCAACCATTACATTTCAATCAATTAAACAAGCACAAATAAGAATTATGTTCGCATCAATTACACAAATCAACTTTTACAAATCATCTTTTACAAATCAATTAAACAATCAAAAAATAAGCAATAATTCTTATTTCCAATCATCTACTATTGAATCAACTTTTACAAATCAATTAAACAATCAAAAAACAATCAATTAAACTATTGAATCAACTTTTGCAGCTATACATCATTTTCACGCAGTTCACTTCTGAGATTAACCTGCAGAAACCAAACATTTGCTCAAACAACACTTTCTACACATTTAAAACCTACAAACAGCAAATTATTCTATTCTAGGTACTTAACCAAACATTTTCAAACCAAAAGTCTATAAACTTACCAATTGTTTATGGACATTTTTATAACGCGGATACAGGTAGGCAGCGTCTCGTATATATCGATTTAGCCATATAATGCCGAAACCACAAGCCTACTGCAGCTCTATCTCTATCGGTGGGAGGTAGATACTTGGTGCTTCCCGTCGTCAAACGCTCCAACGCCAAGCATACGAGAGGACCACAATCTCCTCTGGCTCCTCCCATTTGTTGTGGCGCGGTCTCGTCTCTAATAACTGTAATATTGAGCTTCTTTGGCTTCTTGTTTCCAGAACGAGTCCAATAATTAATCGCATCCAAGAATTTAGCCAAATGAGAGCTCCATCCCTTAATAATCTCTCTTAAATCAGCCAATGATATGTAATTTATCATGCTGTCATACACTATTGTCTTAAGGGATGGGAGCTGAAGCTCGACAAGAATCCAATGTTTACATTCCAAAACAGGGATAAACACCTGCAATCATAAGTAATAATTCATTCATTTGCGCACTTATTTCATAAAACCTTTAAACTCAATCTAAAATAAATACTAACCTTATCGACCTCCCACCATGCAGGATAAAGTTTAGCTTGTCCATTGCCCAAATCAAATGATTTATCTCGTGCATTCTTCAAGTGAACGGCGTTAAAAGACGTCGGCATAATTGTATATCGTATATTTTTATTTTTCTTAAGTTTTCTTATTATTAGAAGACGTGTCACCCACGCATCGATATGCTGTTTTACAAAAAAAGACATATATTAGTGACTTACATAAATTTTAAAAAAAAATTAATCAAATTGAAATATAAGAAAAATATAAGACTTACCCCCTATCGAAATAGTCATTGTCTTCGACCCCTAATAATACGCCCCACCAAGACCGATCAAGCAACAAATAGATATCATCGGTGAGCTTGCATATGTCAGTGAAACACCCCTGGCTCCGCTCATGTAGATAAAAATCAACTGCGGTCTTAGCCCAAAGGGTGTTATCCAGAATTGTGTCCGGTAGTTGTTTCCTCTCCTCTTCAGATACCGGTATGGTACTGGCCGGTAACTCATACGAGAGCCAACTTGAATCCATCATGTCCGGCACGTCAGAGGGTTTCTCAAGAAGCCTACATATGACGCCATGTGAATCAGGCTCTTGAATGGTGGGAGGGACCTCTTCAATGATGACAGTGGCCTCTTGAACGGTGGGAGGGGACTCTCGAGGAATGATAGGGGGGGCCTCTTCAACGATAGGAGTGGACTCTTGAGGGATGACAGGCGAGTCGGGCTTCTTCTTGCGGTGTCTTCGAACTATTGGGGTGTACGGAGACTTAATAGCACGTGCACGCTGTCTGATGGGTGAACTCCGTCGTGCAAGCATAACCCGACGTAAAGCATCCACTCTATCGGGCCGCTAAATAATTAAATACAAAAATCAGTAAATAAACAGACATGATATTTAAACAGTGAAAACAAAGACAAATATGTTTCAAACTTGCATTGTATTCACCCAAGTCATTATTCTATCATAGTTCACAAATGCATCAGATAACAAAGAAAATATGTTTCAGAAACTAATACCCTGAAGTTAGTATTTGTCTTTGTTTTGTCTATTGGTTGAAGTAATGCAATCCATTCAAGTTTCAATTTGCAGAAGAAGAAATAGTTTACTTTCGCAACACGAAACTAAAATCGCAACGCGAAATGAGAATCGCAACGAGAAACCAAAATCGCAACGCGAAACCAAAATCGCAACGCGAAATGAAAATCGCAACGACAGAATCGCAACGCGAAACCAAAATCGCAACGAGAGAATCGCAACGCGAAATGAAATCGCAATGCGATTTTGGTTTCGCGTTGCGATTTTGTCGTTGCGATTTTGGTTTCGCGTTGCGATTCTGTCGTTGCGATTTTCATTTCGCGTTGCGATTCTCTCGTTGCGATTTTAAGTTTCGTGTTGCGAAAGTAAACTATTTCTTCTTCTGCAAATTGAAACTTGAATGGATTGCATTACTTCAACCAATAGACAAAACAAAGACAAATACTGACTTCAGGGTATTAGTTTAGCAGAATTGGCAGCAACCGAACAAATTTACTTTCAACCAAA